AATCTTGAATGAGGTGCAAGCTTTTTTAATATTGTTCTGAAGCTATTTTATTGTGGCATTTTAAATTAATTACTATTTAACTGGGAATAAGCCACAATTAAAGATAAAAATACGTTTATTGACGTTTCAATTTCCACTTCGGAAATCGTTCTCAAAATAAAAACAGTAAATTAGACAAATTTTGTTTTTTGTTACATAGTGAAAAATTCTTCTAATAATTTAATTTTATCTGGCTCATTTATATTGACAATTCAGATATACATTATGCATTTTAAAGTAGAAGACTTTAAAATGATATTGCCAATATTGTTGAGTTGCGCTCCTGGGACGACGTTACTTATAAGATAGTTCATTCGATTACATGAAATCAACTTTAACTTGAGAATATCCGTCAGAAAAAATTATACCATGTGATTCGTCTCATTTAGGAATGTGTCGAACAACTCTGATCCATGAGGCCATATTGAGGGCCAAATGAGGTCAATTGTGTCGCAAATTCCTCGGCAGAATGTAGTAGGATCTGGTTACCAATATTGAAAGAGGAAGTTATTAATAAGAAAATACCAGTATTAGTAAGTCAGTAACATATAGAGGATACATCATTTATGTTTTTTAAATAACAAAACATATAAAATCAGAATTTTGGTGTTTATTGAAGGTAAACTAAATGCACGAACAAATACTTACCATGTTTAGATAGTATTATGAGGTTTTTTTCCTGGTTTTTCCCTCATAATTTACTATGGAATCACTAACAGGAGAATTTTACTGTCATCATGTCATCGTGTCATCGTGTTTGTCTTTTTAAAGACGAATTACATGCTATGATTTTTTCTGACGGATATTCTCAAGTTAAAGTTGATTTCATGTAATCGAATGAACTATCTTATAAGTAAAGTCGTCCCAGGAGCGCAACTCAACAATATTGGAAATATCATTTTAAAGTCGTCTACTTTAAAATGCATAATGTATGTCTGAATTGTCAATATAAATGAGTCAGATAAAATTAAATTATTAGAAGAATTTTTCACTATATAACAAAAGACAAAATTTGTTTAATTTACTGTTTGTATTTTGAGAACGATTTCCGAAGTGGAAATTGAAACGTCAATAAACGTATTTTTATATTTAATTGTGGCTTATTCCCAGTTAAATAGTAATTAAGCTTTTTTATATGAAAAATGCTATAGTTCAATATGTAATTTTTATAAAAGCTGGAATAATTCTATGATTAACTTATTATTTCGTAGTTAGATATTTTTTATTTTTAAACAAAATGTGGACTGAATTGGTTCTTCCAATAAACAGATCAAAAAAATTTATTTTTATTATTTTTTCATTTCGTAAGGCATTTCTACATCAAACTAAAAGAACAATCCAAGTTGCAAACTACTGACCCAAGTTAACCTGATTTCTAAAAATCGCTTTGATCGTCGGGAACAGCATTGGACTCAGATTGTAACTTAGACTGATTGGCAGACAGAAGTTGGCTGTAGTACCCTTTAGATCCCTTTTCTTTACAGAATTTCATTATAACTGTTAGATCAGCACACTTTTTTTGGGCAAAGGTATAAGCGTTTGGTAGAACTGATTGGGTTCTTGAAGATTGGGTATCTTTGATTTTCCCTTCTGGTTCTTTCGTTTATCTTTTACTAGGAAAGACCTGAAAGATTTGTTATATGTTTCCCTGTGATCCACGGTTTTGCATTTTGCTTCAATAAACATTAAATGTTTGAGTTACTTATTAGGAAAACCAAATTTATTTGTGTAGAACTTGGAAGACAACAATGTACCCCACTCTCTAAACATAATTTGTTTACATGATACTTCTATAACCTCTCTAACCATTTAAGGTTTCAGCCTTTGCACTTCTGGGAGTCAATCCCCATGTTTTTGTCCGGTTACATGAAGGAATGGGTAGGTAATTATCACAGTATCAAATATTTTTTCGTATAGCAGTTAGTACGTAGTGGAAGAACTGGATGATAAAATGATTTTTATTTTGTTCTCAGCAAGAGTCGGCAAACACATAATTTTTTTATAAAAATTAATAAAGCAATTAAAAAAAGTATATTAATTTAAAAAATTAAAAAGCATTGAGGCAACGTCATCTGAACCCTTTTGCTATGTTTGGTCATACGTGTACATGATTGAATTACTATTTGACAAAATATGAATATTAAAAATATAGAATGACAGCTGTCTTCTAAACTACATTTCAGTAGAAGTTATATTCGCAGTAGGGAGATTTCTTCTGAAGTCTATAGCGATAGCTACTACAGTTGATGACTTTCTCACACTTTTTCAATGCATAAAATCAATTGGCGTTCTTTAAATGAAGTGTCTTGTCAAATTCTAGGTGGCTGATATCGTTTTCTAACTTTACTTTTTCGTCATCTTTTGAAATGGCAATTTTCCTATTAAGCTCAATAATTTTAGCTTTCTGCTCGTCAAACCAACAGCACGTTTCAGTTCGTCGGTAACCGAAAGAGATGTTAAACTCTGACACAAATATTTGCCTGAATATTTTATAACACATCTCAATATGGGGATGTTTAGTCAAAAATAATTCAAGAAGCTGCCTTTAATGAGCCAAAAATCTGCAATAACAATTCACGAGTTTGATGATCTACCTTATGAGGTCTATTAGTACGCTTTCGCTTCTATCGATCCTCGTCTTGTTAGTTAATCTAAAAGATATTGTACGTAATCGGAAGGTTTTAATTTTATATGCTGATTGAAACATACTGGGACCTCTATTGCACTGCCATTTATAATAACTCTTACTTTGTAGCTGTAGGAGCTTTCATTCAATCTAGCATCTTTTTCGTTTTTCCTTTGCCTTCGTTGAAACACAGGCTGTAATGAGATAAGTCCAGATAAGTAACTATTTTGGACATCATTACCATTGTCATGGCCAATGTAATTAAACTGTCTTATTAAATTACTTTGTTTGGCAATATAAATATTCTGAAAGCACTTATACTGCTTGCAGTCAAAGGTCGAGGTTCGTAGCTTCTTAGCAACATCTCTAAGACGGCCATGTGTTTTACGCTTTTTCGTTGATTTTTCGTGATTAACACTGTTGTATTTTCGTCACTGTCAGACATTTTAAACGGTAAAACTTTCAACAAAGACTCTTAAAACTGAAGAATACCAAATACTTCTTAACAAGTTAATGAACAAGCTTGAATAAACGTGTCGAAACTATAACTAATAAACAGAGCTGCGATGACCTGCGTGAGAGTAATAACGAATTTTATGGAATATGTAGGTTATTTCCATGTTTCATGTTGACTCTGTTGGTTTTTGCCTTACTTTCTGGCGTTACAACCCTTCGTGAGTTTTAGCCGACTCGACAACATGCCTCCGCTGTTTTCTGTCTTGAGCAACCTCCATCTAATTCTCCACGCCCATAGTGCTTAGGTCTCCTGCTATATTATCTCGCCACCGGAGACGAAGGCGTTTGCGTGGTTTCCTTTCAGTTGGGACTTCCTCTCACACCAGTCTTACTGCTCGTTCGTCAGAATGTCTTCTGAGGTGTCCTGCCCATTGGAGTCTTCTGGACTTTATTTCTTTTATGATGTTGGCTTCTGGGTAAAGTTCTTCGAGCTCTTTGTTAGTTTGGTTTGGTTTTGTTTTTTACCTTGCAATAGATATTTAAAACCTTGGATATCTCAGGACTAAGTTTGTTGTTCCCCTTGAAGATTTTTTAAGATAAAATACACTGTAAACAGGAGGTATGGAAAGGTAAACGGGATTTTTTTTTTATTTTCGGACTATGTTGGTTTTTCCCTTGTACCTTCATTTATTATTGTAAAAAACAGGTGTTGAAAATAGTAAAAATAGAGCAACTCCGCTAAAATGAATAATTTTTACTAAAAAATAATTAAATCAAGTTCATTTGAATCTGTTTGGTCGTCATCTTGTGTTTATATAGGTACTGCTGTGTGTTGTTGTCCTTAGGCCCTAAGTTTTGCAACTAATTTGATAATAAAATGCAATGTAATTGGAACCCCAACAGATAGAGAAAGAAAGGGAAAAAAACACGTGCAACACTTGAAGCATACCAGGATGGCTAACAAAGGACAAAGCGGTGGTAGAAAAATAGTAAAGAGGGTGAACCTTGACATTTTGGTAACCACTGAAACTAAAAGCAAAGAAATAGTGTACAATTTATAGACATCTTCTTAAAGCAAAAAAAAAGGAAGAAAAAGCTGCGGAAGAAGTAGAAATTCTAGTAAAAAAAAAATGGGTAAAAACAAAACAATCACGATAAGTAAAATTCATTATGAAAATGTATGGCAGGCAAATAGTGATATTGTGTGCATACTGATAATAGTCCGGTAGTAGAAAAGGACCAGTTTATAGACATTTTACATGAAGAGATTCCTCTTAACAGTGCTAGGGTCATTAATTATAATAAATGAACTTTGATGATATACAAGGCAAATATCGAACACAGTATTAATTAAATCTTGCCAAGTACTTTCGATCACTAGATCAACCTCAGGGGCATTTCGTCAGTTGTGGCCTATCCGACAAGAGCAGAATGTCATAAATGTAAAATGGGACATAACAATACGCTACACAAAGACAAACAAACACTTTAAAATTTTTGAAGAATGGCGAAGCTAGATGGTATATAGAAGCCGGAGACAGAATCTTTATTCTCTCTTATTATCTCTTTCATTTAATTATTTTAGCAGTAATAATATATTTGGTATTAAAAATTATACGAAACCAATAATATGTAGTGCCAAAGACAAATAATGACAAACAATAGATTCATATTCGTAATTAGATTGTTACGAACAGCATTCAAGGTGAATATGCTATAAACTTGGTGGCTTCAATCCGTGTAAGTAAATTCGCGAACACCAGATTCTGAATTTTAATGCGTAATAATTATAATCGCGTTTCCGTTTTTGTTAAAGAATATTTGTAATGCTGTTTCTAAAGCAGTTAAATAGTTAATTAAATAATACAATTTATTTCAGACGAAACCTACCAATAAATGCGAAATTCCTGCATCAGCGCCAAAAAAGGTCGAGGAAGTAATTAACCAATGCCAGGATGAAATAAAACTAGCCATTCTTTCAGGTAATTTGATTTGTTTTGTCATTAAGTTGTAAATAAAACAATACTAAACGACGGTAACTATTAAAGTTAATTGCTATTTTTAATCATACGCTTATAAGTTAATTTCTGTTGTTTTAGTCTTATTGTTTAGCTTATTTTTTCTTTTTGGTATTTGTCGTATCCTTGTGTTGGGCTGTTATATTAACAACCTGTGTGACATTGAAAATGTAACATCCAAAAAATTGGAAGTAATCTTAACGAAATTCTAGTAGCTAAACAATGTGTTGCACTCATAAAAACACTAATACAATTCACTTATCGTTTATATTTATACATAAATGTCGTTTTTTCTTTTTGTAAGATTATTTAGATACAGTTGGTACTTTTAGTACGTTTAGATCTGATTATTGCATAAAATTTGTGTCAGACATACTAGTAGGGGAGCTGGAAGACATTTTGGATAGGTATTTGAGGCGTAGACGAAAAAACTCGCTCTCGACTGTTGACTGCCACTAGCAACAGACATACGCTATCTCTCTCTCTCTCTCTCTCTCTCTCTCTCTCTCTCTCTCTCTCTCTCTCTCTCTCTCTCTCTCTTTCTCTCTTACACACACACACACACACACACACTCTAATAGTTACACGAAAAATACCGCAAATCTTCTTGATTTTTTAATCGTATAGGCAATAGAGGCAAATGTGCTCTATCTATTGATCTTAGTGTTGATACCGCAAGACAACTGTGAAAAAACCGCTAAAGATAGCTCCCCTCGTACGAGAAACAATTGCGAGTGGATATAGCGAAGAAAGCTTATAAATACAGCGAGTGTGAATAAAAGAAAAATTGGTAAGACTTTTTATAAACTTGATTTGGCTAATATATAACTTGTATAACCCTTTACTATCTCTCCTATTTATTTTAAACCAACCCTTTTTAATATAGTTCTCATACACTGAAATTATATTAATAATTTCACATATGTACATTCTTTTTGTATATAACTATCGATTTTAGGACGTCTTTCGACGTTGTCCAATGCCTAACTTCCATGTCCTTCTATCGTTTCATTGGGACGATATCTATCTACGATTCTATCTCTAAGATCCCTTGTACTCATTGCCTTGGTTACCCCTTCTTTCCATGTCTTTCGGGTTTTCCTCATTTTCTACGGTTTGGTGGTACCCACTGCATAATCTTTTTGGGCAATCTCGTGTCTTCCATTCTTTAAACATCACCATACCAAATTAACTGTTTATTTTCAATATCTGTTGTTAAGTAACCGTCTACTCCAATTCGTCGTCTTATTTTCTCATTTCAAACTATTTTCCTGCAGGATATACCTAACGATCTTCTAAACACGTCCATTTCTACAGCTTCTAATTTTTTTTCTTTTGTTCTCGGTTATTCGCCAAGTTTCTGCTCCGTAAAATAGGCTGCTTTTAATTAGTGTTTTATATATATTGTCTTTTCGCTTTATTTCTATTTCGGAGCTCCAAAGTATTCCATTTAGGCAGCCAATTATTCTTCTAGCTTGTGTTACCCTTTTCTTTATTTCCTTATAGTTTTTTCCCGTTCTATCGAAGATTACTCCCAGGTACGTGTATTCACTACAAGATGTGATTTCTTCAATATTCTCCAGTTCTATATTGGATAACTCAACTCAACACCTCTGGGTAGGTATTTAGTTTTTTCCGCATTAATTTCCAAGCCCTACTGTTCATACTCCTCTTTTAGTTTCCTTGCCATATACTTAGAGATCGTCTTTATCATTAGCTATGATGACTTGGTCATCAGCAAATTGTAAGGTATATAAACAAACCTCTCCGAGATTTATACCCATACCGTGATATTTACGTTTTCACTGATTTAGTGCTTTTGCAACATATCTTAAACAACGTTGGTGAAATACAGCATCCTTGTTAACGATGATGTTGGTGCAGACCCTTGTTAACGATGAACTTTTTAGATAGTCTGTTGTTAATTTTTACTTGTGAAGTAGAATTTTCATATAGATTTTTTAAAGCTTTGATAAGAGTGTAGCTAATGTTAGTTTCTTGTAGTGATTTCCACAATTTAGTCACAGGAACGCTGTCGTATACGGAGGTCAACAAACATGGGTCTATTGATTGGTTGTTAATTTTTTTTTCGATTTGTTATTTTAGACACGACATTATCTGTGCAAGTCCTTCGGGCGCGGAAACCTGCCTGTTTTTGTTCTTCTTGTTCCCTATACTCTATCTCAATGAGATTTCTAAGAATGCGTCTGTACACTTGGCTTAGTGTACTAGTTACCGCTATTTCTCTGCAGTTTGAGCAGTCCAACTTATTTCCTTTTTTATGTATGGAAGAAATATAAGCTACTTTCTATAAACTGGGTGGTGTGACACCGTTTATATATTTGTTCATACACTAAGTTTATGCAAGAAAGTGTTTATCTGTGCCATATTTTATTGATTTGACTGGAATGTTTTCTGGGCTAGGAGCTCTACCATTTTTTAGTTCAGTTACAGCTTTCTCACCATATCAACTCCCACTACTATCTCTTTGCCTTCAACGCATACATCCCTTTTGTACACCATTTTAATAATTTTCGTAAGTGAATTATAAGAGGTTATCTGATCAGATTGATCAATCAAGGAATTTTCTTTCTGATATTCAATTATTGCCTTCGGTTACCATATCACTGCGTCATCGTCGCTGTATGGCCACGGTTTTTGTAGTGAAAAGAAGAAGAAAACCTCTCTTATCTTTTCACTTCAGGACGTATATACCTTTTTCGTTTTCCTGTTCAAATACCTTTTTAACTTTTTGAGTGTGACTTTTTTCGGATTTCCACGCTGGTAAGTACTCAATGTACCAATATAATGTGTATTATTTCCCAACAAAATATGTGTTTAAGATTGTATATTAGTTATCAGCAATAATACTTGGTCCTGAATTTAGTAGGTCCTTGGAGAAGTTTATAGAAATGTTAGTTGGTACAAGGACCTTCTTTTTTTTCCTTTCCGGCATATATAAGTAGACAAAGGTGCCGTTAGTTGGTGGTAATGCCATATAAGGCATATTTTTCAGTTAATTCTTTAAATGGATTATAGCGAGTAATCGCTATAATCCATGTTTCATTTTCAATATTACTTAATAATTTAATATGTTTTAAAAATATTATACATTTTAAGAAACTTTTATTTCAGAAGCGTTGGAGACTATAAATGTTAATGAAAATGCCCACAGTCGTGCAAAACGAGCAGCCTTTACTGATGATGAGAAAAGAATTGCTGGTGTAAGTATTTTTATATATTTTAACATCGATAATATTTGTTATGTTATCTTGCACAAATCTAATCCACTGTTTGCCTTCCACTGCTCTTATGCCATCTACCCATCTTTTTTGAAGTCTTCCCATTCCCATGCTTCTTGTTGTCGTCCTTGGTCTCCATTCTAGAATTCTCCGTGTCCACCTGTTGTCATTATATCGGGCTACGTGACCTGGCCCAGCGCCATTTCATTTTTGTAATTTCTTCCACAATATCACTAATCTTCGTTCTACGTCTTATCTCGGTGTTTCTAATCTTGTCTCTTAGTGATATTCCAAGCATGATTCATTCCATTGCTATTTGCGATGTTTCTAATTTTTTAGCAGATTTTTTGGTAAGGGCTACTGTCTCCAAGCCGTAGGTTCAAAATGGTAGTATGCATGTGTTATACACGTTTTTCTTTAAGTTTATTGGAATGAAGGTTTTTTCAAGATATGTGCTAGTTTGCCTAAACCGCCCCATGCTAGTTGTGTTTTTCTTTTAATTTCAGCAGCTTGATTTGTTTTTCCTAGTTTGATAACATGACCTAGATATATATATATATATATATATATATATATATATATATATATATAATGTTCAACATTTTCTATGGTATGATTTTGTATTGTTATATTTGTCTGGTCTCGGCTCGGTATTTTTGTTTTGCTGTAGTTCATTTTTAAGCCTACCGCTCCTGAAACTGCATTTAATTGTTGTAACATATCATTTAGTTCTTGGATATTATCGGCTATTAAAACTATGTCATCTGCGAATCTCAAGTGGTTCTGTCGACGTTGATACCCTTACTGGCCCATTCCAGTTTCTTAAAAATATCTTCTAGATCAAGGGTAAATAGTTTGGGAGAGATGGTGTCTCCTTGTCTTACTCCCCGTTGTAGTCTTATGGGATTAGTTTTTTTGCTTTCGTCCAGCTTTATCTGCATGGTGGCATTTTCATATATTATGTTTTTAATTATGTTAGTGTATCTTGAATCTATGCGTGCATTTTAGAGATTCAAGCACTGCCCATAATTCGATGGAATCGAACGCTTTATGGAAATCAACGAACGCCATATGAATTGGAACATTATACTCGGTGCATTTTTCTATCAGTGTTCTTACGGTGTGCAAGTGGTCTATGGTATTCAAATGTTTTCTGAATCCAGCCTGCTCGATAAGTTGATAGAAATTGAGCTTATGTGTTAGGCGGTTGGTTATGATTTTAGTTAGTAATTTATACAGATGTGATAGCAAGGATATTGGTCGGTAATTCTCGATGTTTGCTTTGTCTCCTTTCTTAAATAGTAAAATGACCTCGGAGTTGTACCATTTTTGAGGAATCTTTCCTTCATCAATTACTTTATTAAATAAAATACTTAATACCTGTTCCATTTTTCTGCCACAAATTTTCAACATTTCAACTGTAATCTTATCCTCTCCCGGACATTTATTCGTTTTTAGTTGATTTAGGGCCATTCTTATTTCATAGTCGGTTATGTCCGCTATTTCTTCTGAGCCGGTGTTAATTATTGTTCGTTGAGTACATCGTTGTTGTGGTTGTGTATTTACCAAGTATAATTTAGTGTAGAATTTTTCAATGGCCTCGCTTATTTCCTTTCTGTCTCTGACGGTAACGTTTTTTTCATTTTTTTATTTCTATGATTTTGTTGTGCCGCTTGAGTTTTTTGCTTTGAGTACTTTCATGTTACAGTTATCTTGTATTATATTTTTTATTAGATTGTTATTATAGTTTCTATGATCGTTCCTGATTTCTTTCTTCACGTTTTTGTTTAAACTTTTGAAACTGTCCGAAGTTCGATCTGTTCTGTTTCGTCTTTCTTGGAGTAGTTTAATTGTATTAGGTTGGAGTTTAGATTTTTTGGCTTTTTTCGTGTTTGAGCATATTTTCTTAACCGATTTTGTTACAGTTACTTTTATTTTATTGGCTAGTCCGTTTATATCCATTTGTTTCAGTGTCTCTATTGATTTTAGTCTTGTGCTTAGCTCTTTTTGGTAGGTATTCCGTTTGTTTTTGAAACAGGACATCGGTGGTTGGGCTGACGACCAATAGTCAGAAATACATATATAGGGTTGCCTTCCATCGATGTACCTATTTTTTTATTTCCTGCTTTGCGAGATATGCCATTACATTTTACTTTTAGTATTCACTCGCATTAACCTTAGTATTGAGCATTTAAAAAGAAAAAGTGTCCTTTTTGGATAGAAACAATAAAAGTCAATTTAACTTTAAAGAGGATATGGTAGTAAAAAAAGAAGAATCATTTTGGTTTGTCTAACTGAAATTACAATTTTAGAATTTGAAAAATATTAAAAAATATTTTCGTTTTTCTCTCTGTTTATATGTACTGGAACTCGACCACTAAACAATGCCTGACTCGTTCTCAATACATTTCCAAATCCAAACTGGCAACAAATTATCGCTTATCTGTTATTAGCACTTTAACATTTATATCTCTAATTAAAATATTCTATACATGCAAACCAAATTATGGGTAATAAAACACCTCTACATTAATTATGCCAACAGAAGGTATACAATAAAATATTAAAAAAACTTGAATAATAAATATATTATTGACCTCCCATGCTACATCAGTCATAATACTCGTATTTAAATAATTTATAAATTAATTACTTAAGAGAAAGTATCTGTCTGTAGCTATAGGGGACATTTCTATTTTGATTTTAAGTATCACTAAATATTAGTTAATAGTAACTATAAAACTGCAACAAATATTCAGGCATGAAAAAAAAACGATAAGAAATAATATAAATTGAGTGTTGTACAATATTGTACATACCTACTCATAGGCCAGGAATTGAAGCTGAAAAATGGCAAAACCTCGCAATTTTTTTTGACCAGCATCGATTTGTACACAAATTTGTACCCCTAATTGTAATTTGTTTTATTGGCTTTGGATTATTGATCCATTCAGCTACGATATATAATAAATACTGTTTGCTACAATATTAAATATATGGATACTATAATATACATATGCGCACATAATATATACACACTTATACAGGCACATATATATATATATATATATATATATATATATATATATATATATATATATAAGGTTCTTGAACTCCTAAGTGGAGCATAGAGCTTCAGTGAAAACGCGCCATCGGGTTCTATTTTGCGCTAAGGCCTTCACCTCATTCCAAGACTTTCCTTGTTTTCTTATCTCGTCCATGATGGATCTTCTCCAAGCTTGTACTGGGCGACCTTTTTTTCGTTTTCCTTGGGGGTTCCACTCTAGGGCAGTCTTTGCAATACTGGAGTTATTTTTTCGGAGTGTGTGACCGATCCAACCCCACTTTCTGGACTTTATTTCATTTACTACCCTCTTTTGTTTGGTCAGGTGTAGTAAATCTTCGTTTCTGATGATGTTAGGCCAGAAAATACGAACAATTCTTCGTAGACATTTATTAACAAAGACCTGCAGTTTGTCTGTAAGGGTTTTTGTCGCTTTCCAGGTTTCACATCCGTAAAGTAGTACAGACATGACATTTGACTGGAATATGCGGATCTTTGTCCTCGTAGTGTAGTCTCTAGACCTCCAAACAGGGTTGAGCTTGCTGAAAGCTTGTTGCGCTTTTCGTATCCTCATACGAATATCGTCTTCTGTACCTCCGCTTTCTGTTATGACACTTCCAAGATACGTAAAGTTTTCCACATTTTCAATCTGCATGTTATTATTGGTGAATAGCGTGTTGTTTCTTGCATTTATTCTCATGGATTTGGTTTTACCAATATTGATTTTCAAACCTATTTTATTGGCTTCAGTGGAAAGTGTTTCCAATTGGTCAGCCACATCTTGGAACCTTTGTCCTAACAGGCAGATATCGTCGGCGTATTCTAGATCGCTTAGGCGTGTGGTTAACGTCCATTGTATCCCTTTTGTGTCAGAGTCTAGTTTGGAGAGAACATAGTCTAGAGCTATGTTAAAAAGAAACGGAGAAAGCACGCATTCCTGTCTGACTCCAGTAAGTACGTCAAATTCGTCACTGTTGATCCCATTGTGTGTCATGCTGCATTTCGCTTCAGTGTACAGTAACTTTATAATGGAAATTTTTTTATGCGGGATGTTTCTTAGCTCTAAAATTTTCCATATCGCATCATGAGATAAGCTGTCAAAAGCACGCTCGAAATCAACAAAAATCATGTATAGGGGTGTGTTCCATTCAACCGATTGTTCCATTATTAGCCTCACAGTATTAATGTGGTCTATGCAGGAGGATTCTGGTCTAAAGCCTACTTGATTAGCTCGAAATTCAACCTTGTTTGTTAATCTTTTAAGTATGATGGTCGTGAAGATTTTATTTATGGCGGTAAGCACGGTTATTCCTCTCCAATTTTTGCATAGTGTGAGGTTGTTTATCTTCAGCTATTTCTGTCAAAACATTTGCCAGATCTTCCCAGCTATTTACTTCACGTTCTCTTCTTTTGAGTTGAAGTTCCTCCCTAAACATGTGTCTTCCTGTAGCCGTTTTTAATTTGTCTAGATTGTATGTTGGTCGTTTGGTGTTTCGTGTGATTTTGTTTTTTGCCATTTTGATTTTAATGGTACCGATTACAAGATGATGGTCACTTGCGATGTCTGCTCATCATATATAGGTATTGTTAAATAAAAAAATACAAAAAGAAAGTGGAAACATTAAATTTACCTCTATTTAAACTTTTCATTCAGGACCCTAACCAACTTAACCTAATTTACAAATAAGAAATATACAAATAATACTAAATGCTAATACTAAATATTTTTCACAGCGCTAAGACATAAACCCGGTTCAATCCCTCGGAGGTGTAAAAAATTATAAAATAACATTTTAAACTTGAATATGGTCAACATTTGGTTTTTGTTAATTAAATATTGCTTGTTTTATGCTTTAGGCTAGGGTATAATATCATACTATTTCAACCCTTAAAACCACCCTTATTGGAGCTAAATATAAAAAAGTATTTATCCTAAATGTTTGGGATTAGAATCATCTCACCCTGTACTTCATATTCTATATCATGCTCAAGGGCGTTATAAAAGGCATTTAAATAGACCGTTGACATTAGATCAACGTGATGACGTGTAAAAAACAACGAATTTGTCATCTTTATGGTATTTCTACCGTTGTCTACCGTATTTTTCAAGTTCGCCCTACCGCAAAATGGTTCATGTCACCTGGCAACACTGAGAGTGTCTCATTTGTAATAAAGGCATTTGTCGAAAATTTAGGATGCCGGTTTTATGTCAATTTTGACAGCTCCCTGTATGATGAAGGGCAACTTAAAAAATAATGTTGAATCTGTTTAATAAGTTCATAAGAAATTTAAACGTTTATTCAAATTACATTAGAGAATATTGAAATTTATATACATGGTAGAAAAGTGTAATTTTCATATAAAAATCATTATTACTCAAAAATGGTTCACAATAGGTATAGGGAAATATTAACAAAAAATAGTCAGAATAACGTGAATATTTCAAAAATGAAAAATGAAAAATATACAGGGTGTCACATTAAAAAAACGAACTTAAAAGCAAATTTCGGTACAACCAGAAGTAGCAAATAGATGAAAACATTTTCAAAACCGCTTCATTCTAACTTTCACGTTTCAGTTGCATTTAGTTCTCGAAATATTTCTGATTGGCTGTTTATCTGCTGCACCCTGTATACAAAATATCAATCGTAAAACAACTTTTAGTCTTTACTATTACCAGTTAATATTTATTATGATTTTTTTTTTGTTTCAGTGTTTACTGCAATGTGTATACAGAAAGATGAAAGCGGTAAGTAAAATATCTTAGGAACATTCTAATCGAAATGTTTCTAAAGTCCATGTCAGACTGTCAAATATTTTATCAAACTGATGTAATGACGTCATAATTACAGTTTGTTCAAATTATATAAGAATCTACCTGTCACACGATCATTCAAATTTGATCAAATTAATGTATGTTAGTGTCAAACGATCATTCAAATTTAATCAAATTGACGTATGTCAAGGAAATTAATTATCTTTTTTGCTTATTTATTAATTGCTTGTGCTCTATTTACGATTCTCATTTACCTTATCCACAAAGAAAATAAAAAGGGTGAAAGGATTTTTATAATAATATGGATGTTTGACATTATATGTATAAACAGCAGATATTTTAAATTTTTATTTTATAACAAAATGAAAGACAAATAAACCACACACTGTCAACCAAAAAAAAAAAAGAAAATTAATTTAAATACGTTATGACTAAGAACTGCTGATTGTCATTTGACTTTAGATATTTTTCGACCAATCAAAATTAAAGTTTGATCAAACTGACCTTGAAAATGGAAGATCCCCTATTTTTAACAGAGGATTTGATCAAACTCAGGATGTGACGTCATATGCTGTAAATTTTTTGGTTTAGTCAAACTAGTTTTATCAAATATTTGACCGTCTGACACGGACTTAACGTTACTCAACATCTAGGCGTAACCGACCTAATCCTAAGCGTTATTCGTTTATTTAAATCAGCTAAGTCTAGGAGTTTAGTTTTGTATACAATATATTTGACATATCCCCATAAGAAGTCTAATTGCCTCAAATCAGGAGATCGTGTTGGCCATTTCATCGATCCTCGCCGCCCTATCCACCGATTTGGCAATATTAGGTTGAGGCACTGCCGAACATTTATTTGGTAATCCGATGGTACTCTATCTTGTTGAAAGTCTATTATATTCGCTGGAACTTGTTAGTTTGATTGATCAGGATAAAAGTTTGTCAAAGTTGGTATGACATTACTGATTGATGGAGTTTAGTTAACGATGGAGTTACCACTACAAATAATATTATGGTGTTGAACTTTTGATTGTGAAAAGTAATAATTTCAAGTACATAAGGTTGGTATTACAGAGTAATGTAGAAATAGATAGAGATACATGAAGTTGTGAACTAAAAAGATTCCAGTGAAACTAAATCTTATTGGTGACTTATCTCTTGCTATTTTGACGACACGGGCCTCTTCCATTCTGCTTTCGTGGTTATTCCATTCCTTTTTCTATTTTGTGTTTATTTATTTATACAGTGTATGTTACATTTTCTTCTAAAGTCTTTACTTCTCTTCTTTCTCATCTTTCTCGCGTTAGTCTTGTTCCGAGGCATAATCCTGTTTCTATGAGCTGTATGATTTTAAAGTCTATCAGTAGGGTGCCACCCTGGCTGTAGACCCCCTCCTCCTGTATCAGGGCTTGGGACCGACAACAGTTCTGTCAAGCTAGTCGATCGACCCAACAAAACAGCAGGCGGAGTTGAACTGCATGTTAGGCAGTTAAAAAGAAAAAGGAATAACGAATGCGTGTGGCAGAGATAAGAATACTTAGATAGGATTAGATAAAAAAGAATAAAATAAAGAATAAGTGTATTAGGGCAACACTAGGTGTGGCGTCAGTTGATGTCAAGATAGGAGATAACAGGTTAAGGTAGTTCGTGCATGTTCAACGTCAAAGCGCTAATCACCCAATAACAATAGGAGAGTTCATTAAAGAAGTAGGAGAGGAAAGATCAGAGGAACACGGGGAGAAAACACATAGGAAGGTTATGTCTGTGGATGGAATTGGTATGACCTAAGATAGAAACGTAGGTAGAGAAAGGAGAATATAGAAGAAATGTAATCAGGAAAGTGGACCCCACGCAGGAATAAAGACAGATAAAATGATGATCTATACTAATACAATCATTCGTGGTTTTCATTATCCAAATAATTAATACCCTTTAGTATCCAAAAAGATGGAAATAACGCCGAATGGTCAAGAAGACCGAACCACAGAAATAGTGGCGCAGTGGGATCGTATTTAACAGGATATACACCGCGAACAATTGCATTACCGAAAGTAGAAATTTTTCTTGAAACAACGAAATAATCCAAGATTTCAGTAATTAGATTAAACGATAGATTAAGTAGCGCTGATAAGTGTAATATTTACTAAAGTTATGAGAAATAGTGGAAACATAAATAGGTATAGAAAAATAAAACTTAATGGAATCACAGGAAGTGCAACTACGGAAGACTCTATTGAATGTAAGATACAAGTTTTATACAATCTGAGTTCACAAACATGACAGCATTTTCAGAGGACATCGAAAGAGTAATCGTAACAGATTTATTAAAACAAACTAAAAATTTTTTGAAAAAAACTATCATACTCTAGAATTATCTATAGCAGCGATACTCAAAGTGTGTTCCGCGGAACCCCTGTAGTGGTTCCGCGAGAATTTACAAAAAAAAATTCAAAACACGTCTCTCTGGTCGACTCTTCTGATGCAGCGTAGCACGCTTAATGGAACGTTGTCTTAAAGTCGTTAAACGTGATGCAACAACATCTTCTACAGAAGGCGAATGTTCGAAAGCAGTACGCGCACAGTATACAGAAATTACCGATCAAGACGATTATGCAATGACGTGAAGTTCTACGGTTTAAAAGGCGAAAAAATGGAAGTATGATGAATCATATATCAGTTTCGGATTTGTTGATTCCAACGGTTCACCTCTCTGCATCTTATGTAGTAAACTGTTTCCTAATAGTTCCATGTTGCGCCGACATTTAGAAACTGTACACCCCGAGTCTAAACGTAAAAATAAAGAATTTTTTCTTCGTAAAAAAGAACAGTTATTAGAAAGTCAAAAAACTATGATGTATGTAACTCAAACTATCGATGAAAAGGCCACAGAGGCATCATATTTAGTTAGCTATCGCACAGCACAAGCAGGTGAAGCGCACACTATCGCTGAGAATTAAATAAAACCGTGTGCGTTAAATATAACAAAATGTATGTTCGATGAAAAATCTGCAAAGCATCTTTCTACTGTGCCGCTATCGAACGATACTGTTTTACGGCGAATGCATGATCTGACAAGCTACGCCAAACAAGAACTAGTTACACGTCTACAAAAAACACGATTCGCCTTGCAAAGAGATGAGTCTACTGATGTCGCTGGTCTAGCTATCTTGCTGGTTATCGTGAGATATCCATATGAAAGTTCTTTTGAAGAAGACATGCTTATGTGTTCACAGCCGCCCACAAGCACAACCGGAGGAGAAATTTTTAATAAAATAAATATATTTTTTGATGAAAATAATCTGAGTTGGAATGATTCCATTGACATTTGTACAGATAAGGCCAAGGGGATGACAGGTAATACAGCAGGACTAGTGTCACGAATAAAAAATAAAGCTCCTAATTGTAGTTCCAGCTGTCTATGAACCGTGGTTCCAGCCATTGTACCCTGCATAGACAAGCACTTTCGATGAAGCAAATGCCGTCAAATCTAAAATTAGTTATGGATGAAGCGGTAAAAATAATTAATTTTATCAAATCACGACCACTACATCTCGATTATTCTCATTATTGTGTGAAGATTATGGCAGTAAACATAAAACACTGCTGCTCCATATAGAAGTGCGATGGCTGTCTCGGGGTCCAACTTTAACAAGGCTATTTGAACTTAGGACGGAGTTACAAATGTTACTTTCAGATACTTCTTTTAATTTGAAAGTCCGTTTGTATTATAAAACTTGGTTGTTCCGACTGTCTTTTATGATTTTTGGATTATTTGCGTCGGAAAGAGAGAAATAGAAAGCTTTACGTCAGTCAGTGAGTTTGTTAGCGATAACGACGAAATGTTCCAAGATGATGTATGTGAAGAATTGGTCAAATATCTCACTTCGATGAGTGCATCTTTTGAGAAGTAATTTCCCGAAGAACAGAACACAAAAATGAAACTGAATTCATGTATTCATAATCCTTTTTTTACCCAACTTACAAAAGCCCGAAAGTATGTCAAACGATATACGAATCTCTTTTAGAAATGTCATCAGACACTTGTATGGATTCATTTTAAAACGACGCCTCTCAACGATTTTTGGTGCAGAATCCGTGATGAATATCCAATGCTTGCTAAAATGGCTCTGAAAATTATTCTTCTTCCTTTCTCAACAACATATTTGTCCTTCCTTTCCCAACAAACCTGATATCAACCAATTGATGAAAAATAAAAAACAGTTTCATACCTCCCATAAGTTATCTTATTTTCTTATTTAATATCTTCTATTATTATACTTGTTATGTAAGTAAGTAATAAGTAACGGTTACATTTTACTCTTATTCTGCTTCTTAATACTTTTAAAAACTAGTGTTTTATTGTAAGGTTCCGTCAAGTATTTCGCTTTCCAAAAGGGTTCCGTCACCAAAAAAGATTGAGAACCGCTGATCTATAGGTATACAGATCACAACATTGTTTTATTGACCATAACACACAATGGCAATCGCTGTGACATGTTACACGTTTCCACCTCTATATTCATTTCACCGTAGGTACGAATTCTCGTAATTGTCACATTGACATTAAAAATTTCAAACGGAGTTCTGAAAGAATAAAGAAACAATTAATAAAATACCTATTATGTTGTATACCGTCCAAGAAAAAGTGCAACTTGTAACATGGTACTTTCAGGGTCATTCGATACGCGAAGTAATTGATTTATTTATTGTTGCCTTCGAAAATAGATACCCACAAAGTGTTACAACAGTTAAAAATACCATTAAACATTTTCAAACTTCGGCATGTGTAAACAGTTGTAAAAAGTGTCTTGTACACTGCAATAGTATACAAATTGCTAGAGAAGTTAACGTGAATGGTCGAACTGCCCAGCCCGTTCTCAGAAGGAATAGGTGTCACTGTTTTAAGATACAACCAACACAAGAACTGTTTCCGGAAGATAACTTTAGGCGGATGGAGTTTTGTGAATTTATGTTAGATAAACAAAATAAAAAAAAGTACACTTTTTAAAAAATATTTTATTTTCTGACGAATCTTTCTTTTCATTACATAAAAAACACAATCCATCTGTTGCAAGGTATTATTCTCGGAAAAATAAGTACCTCAGTGTTGCATTACGAACGCAGCATCCGCAAAAAATAAATGTTTGGACTGGGATGTTACGCGACAATATTGTCGGTCCATTTTTATCGATGAAAACCTAAACGGGCCCAAATATTTACAACTTTTACAGAATGAGATGATTCCGGCAGTTCGACGCCTTCCCGTTATTTTTCAGGAAGTTTATTTCCAACAGAATGGGTGTTAGGCTCACAACTCTAGAGCAACAATTGACTTCCTCAATCAAACGGTTCCTAATCGAGTGAAAATTACACGTGGTACAATTAAATGGCAAGCTAGATCTTGTGACTTAGCGCATACCGATTTCTTTTTTTCGGGGTCTTCTCAAAGAAAACAGTTATATGCATCAGTTTAAAAGTGCCACAAACCTAGTCGAATTAAGGGCAAAAATTATTCATTTATCTGCAAGCATTGCAGCAGCCCTACTCCAAAATATGAAAAGAAATCTGTATGACAGATTTGGTTACTGTTTAGCACAAGGATGTAGAATATTTGAGCCCTTAATTCATTAATCTGCTTTCCTAATTTTTATTTTTTGTTAGGTACATTTTACGAGTTTTACGAAGTTTGTGGGTTCTTAATTGGGTAGTATTTTTTATGTTTAAGTTTGGAAGAATTTTATTGTTTTTTTTTTATTTAAAAGTATAAACGATTCTTATTCTGATTTTTTTCTTCTTTCTTGCCTTATTGTTATAAACTTTGTCCATAAAATTTGTACAATTTTCAATGACAATAAAGCATATTACTTATTTATTTGTATTGCTATTAAGGCTAAAAAATTACCAACAAATTAGTTTTAACGCATTATAATAAAAATACTCTAGAGATGGGATTGCCATAAATCTTAATTCCTATGGTCAACAAAACAATGTCATTATCTCTATACAGAAAAATATAGTAGTATTTAGTTATTTATTTAGTTTATTATAGTTTGAAAGTTGAGATTCTCTCTAAATATGAAGCTTATTTTGCAAAAAGTCATTCTATCTTTAAATTGTTCACAAAATATTTGGTTTATTATTTACATCGCAAAATATTACTGTTTAGTACGTATGTAAATTGTTTTTAGGTTAACGAAATTGGCTTTCCAACTGAGTCTGGTTTAATATCTCTATATACCAGCGGAATTCCACACAAAGAATACATTAAAGCTACGGTTGAAGCCGTTACGTTATGTCTCAGAGATGCAAAGAAAAAATATTTGGTTAATAGGAAGTCACTAGAAGGTAAATATCAATTTCTTATTAAGAATAGTAAAGACTACTAGCAGATTTTATTGTTTATTAAAAAAAGGAATTAACATACTAAAATAACATTATAGTACAAATAAGGGTGTGAGATACAAAATTGATAGTCGTTATTGAACTTTCCTAATGTTTACCATATATTTATTGTTCTTTATTAAAAGGTTTATTCTTTTGCATGTAAACTAAACAATATTTTTATCCTCTCAATATTAATGCTCATAGTCCAACAAAGGAATACAGTATAGCAATGAAAGACGGGTTCTATGAACAGTTAGAACAAATATATGAAATTTTCCGAGAATGGTGACGTGAATGCACAAATAGGCAAAAAAGACCAATTTTTGGAAACAATCGGCATCATTCATTAGCAGACTCACTCCATCAAAACACCAATGAGGACGAATAATTTTTAATCAATATCGCAATTTATAATCCAACATGGATCATACCATGGTGGAGCAGTTGCCGACTAAATTAATTATGTTTTAATACACAAAATGGCTACCACAACATATTGTAGACATAAAAAGCCAAAGTGAAAATCCAGAACAGCACTGGAAATAATTATAATTAAACGAAATTACTCACACAACCACAATGCGAAATAAGATCAGTTAAGTAAAAAAACTGATTCTTCCTTCCAAGTCAAGAAGTTAAGGATGGAAGCAGACTTCTGATACGTGCATAATATATCTGTCTGAATATATAGCTAGTTTCAAACCCAGTGTCGAGAATTTTTCGGAAAAATAATGCCTAACCTAACGAATCAGTGATACACCAGAAAATACTTATGATTCACAATATTTCAAATTGTTAAAGATACGTACAAATTAAATACAAAATATATTATATTTGGCAACATTTATGTATATTTGAAACGTATTACAATATGTGTGCGTTCGGTATAAAACGTATTTGTCCGTCACCGTGTATGATAACTAATGTAATTCCTTTTATAATCTTTTTGAACAATGCTTTACAATTATCATCTTCGTCGTAGTGTGTCCTGCATGTAAGGAAGAATGGTCCACAGTGAGACGGTTTTTAGTCATTCGAGATTTTTTCTACACTTTTTCTAACTTTTTCTATATATATATATATATATATATATATATATATATATATATATATATATATATATATTGAACTATTTTTATTGGTTATATATATATATATATATATATATATATATATATATATATATATATATAGAACTATTTTTATTAATTCTAATTTATTGTTCTTATTTTATTTAATTCTAAAGGTTCAATATTTATAACACTTACGAATTTATCAAAGTCTTTATTACTACTAATTTATTTTACAAATAAGTTATTTACGTGCGATAGAATTCTAACGCGAGACCGGACTTCTTTTTTTGACTAACTCTCCTCCATGAGAATCACCGTTATTTATATGAAATGCCGTTATATAGAAGGATCTGGCGAATGCATCGATGACGTTCCATCCATTAGGTGACTCATTCAACCAGTCTAGAAATGTCGATCGCTTTCTCGTCTAATAAAAACTCAGAGGGCTCGGGCCGTAGACTGCATTATTGTTACCTGGACTGGTTATTCGACACCTCTAAATTGGCATTTATTTTACAAAATACATAACAGAAATAGATTTGAACTTGAATACATAACTGTAAAAAATTCTTTTTGACTTTGCAAAGTATCTGTGTTCCACAATGGTCCACACTGAGACACACAGTGGTCCATAACCAGATATTGTCATTGAAAATGTAGTCCGCCAAAATTCACTTCGAACTAAACAAAATTATTTTGCCTCTTTTTTTCCTATGTAACACTGGTACAGGAAAAGTCATCACTATGTCTTGCGATAAAACACTAGCAACTTCAGGAACGTTTCAATAAAAAAAACTTTTTTTTTTTCTCAGATAATTGATCTCATATTCCAAATCATCGGAAAGATTGGTAAAAATTTTGACAATAAAATATTTTACTGACTTTTTGCTTGTGCACTTTAAAAGAACATAGTCATTAATGACTGCATTTCTATCCAGTTCTTCGAATCCTGTTATTGGAGCATCAAGGTCGGCATCATATTTAGATGAGCTGTTCAGGGATTCTGCTTGGTCACTTAAAAAACTATTTTCGGCTTTGATAAAGCGTTTTTTACTGTAATAGCTCTAGCTTTGCGTTTTTCTGCATTTTTTGTTTAAAGTTCAATTTTTTCTGGACTGTCTATTGGAATGAAACTTTTTCCGCGTTTTCTGTTCTGCACTCAATTTCTTGGAGCATCTTTAAAGTAGCCTTGAAACTCTTGATGGATCGATAACGACTTTGTCGTCATGATTAGAATCATGGTCAATAGTAAGTGTTGTTATCACAGGATCGGGATTAGATGTAGGATCCTTTTACCCATGTTTGTCATTTGTGCAGGAATCTAAAACTAGATATTCTATTGTACTATTTGAAGAAGTTGACTGTTCAGGCCGATTTGTGATGGAACTAGGAAGAAAATCTGCGAAAACATCTCTATCACAAGGGAAAATACCCGATTTGCGGAATCCTGATGTTATATTAATCAGAGTAATTGAATGCTGAAAGGCACTCATAACATATTCTGGTATATCGTATAATATGGTGATTGGAACTCCTGGGTGATGCATAAATCAAAAGTCGACAGTACTATTATAGTGTGCCTTAAATGAAAAATAAACGAACACATCTAATAGTTGTAGTTTATAACTGCAATGGAACGAAAAAGTTAAAATAGTCACTCAATTCAATTTGGCTAAATTCACACATTCAATTGAAAGATAACTTTCGTGGTTATCGAACAACAAGAATGTTGGATTTTTTATTGAGGGATTTGTATGGTTTATGAAATGATGCATTACTTCTACAAACAACTCGCTGTTCATCCAGTCCGAAGGTGTTACAGGTCATAAACTACCAGTTGGTGCATTATAAAGCATATACGATTTCAAATGAGCCCTAGGAAATATAATGGCTAGTGGAATCGTGTTTTCTGAAGCACTTATAAAGCAGCATGTTGTTACTAAAGACCCTTTTCGGGATGAGTTACTTACACTCCTTTGCAAGTGTTAACTCTTTTTGGTTTCTGCACAGTTGTCGTCCCAGTTTCATCTACTTAGATTTATTATTCTAGTCTAGAGCCATCATAAAGCTTTCGTGCCTGCTCTAGACATTGTACAATTTATCAAAGAACATTGAGACATTATGTTTATTAAAAGACGTAGCACGCGAGATATTATATCCTGGTTGTCTAATGCGTAAGTTAGGTCATCGTAATCCGAATATTATTTTTTTAAGCCATTTCGTGTGCTTAACGGCCAGGAGTTGTTGGGCCGTAATTTACTTTTGAGCACATTTTGAGGTATTCTGCCTATACAAATTCTTGTTTTTTCGACATAATTTGGCGGCATTCATAAAAAGGTTTCATTTTCTACTTCGGTATTAGGGTCATTCCTTAGTTTTTTTCACGTATCGGAAATAAAAAGATTATTGTTTATTGAAAAAATAAAATTTTTTACGTGAAACCTAATCAATCCTCATTTCCTTTACAATTTACCTTGCTAAAGTCTGAAATGAGACCCCCTTTAAATCTGGTGCTTTTGCAGAAAAAGGAGTAATGTTCGTCTTTCTTTTTCTATCCCCAGTCATGATCTACAAAAAAAGAAACAAATAGTATGAGTTTTTTATTATCCAACTAACGTCCTCGATCAGGTACAGTGAGACGCATCTCAGTCTGCCCCACTAAGGATTGTCTCACTGTACCCTACATGTACAATTTCTTCAAAGTGTGATATTTTTTCTAAATTCGATAAAATAGAAATAGTATCGCTACGTAATTACATGCAAAAATACCTAAGCTTTACTTACCATCAATATCAAAGTGCTAGCTCAATGCACAACTGAATAATATCGGTCGATGTGACGAACAATATAATTACTTTGGAGGACAAAAATCACACTACCATCTGACATACAAAAACGAACGGGACAACCTTATGGTGGGGATAGCATGCACAGCGCTGTTGACATGTCCTCAGAAAATACATTGTCTCCCTGTGGAACATGTCTCACTGTGGACCACTCTCCCATACATAAGTTTCAACAACATAAACAACTGATTCACCTTCACTTCTGTAATATTTATTATTTTCCAAATACTTATGAAGTAGGGCACGAATGCCGTTTCGTTCAATTAAGAAACTAATAGTCATTCATTTTCTTCCATTTAAATCACAAATCTTTTACAATCCTGTAGATGGAACTCACCTCTCCTCTTCGCATCTTTTGTATGCAAAAGCTTCAATGATACACTACAACTTTCAGTCTGATAAAAATGTATATTTTACTTTACTTGAACTGTTTACCGTAATTCCTTAGGTTAAGTCCAAGTTGCTTTCTGTTTAGCAAAAGTTTTGTGAATTATTTGAATCTGAGTTTGTTAACATATTTCCTTGTAGCATTATCCTTTCTATTAGCGTGAAGATACTTTACTAGCTTCGCTCTTCTTCTTCTTCAAGTGCCATCTTCGTTGCGAAGGTTGGCGATCATCAGGGCTATACGTATTTTCGAAACTGCTGACCGAAACAATTCGTTGTTGCTACAGCTATACAATTCCCGTAGATTCTTTAGCCAGGAGTTTCGTCTTCTTCCTATGAACCTCTTTCCTGCTATTTTCCCTTGCATAATTATTCGAAGCAGTTCATATCTTTCGCCTCTTGTAATGTGTCCCAAGTATTGCAGTTTTCGTTTTTTGATCGTAAATATGACTTTTTTTTCTTTATTAATTCTTCTCAAGACCTCGAGATTTGTGACTCTCTCGGTCCATGATATTCTCAGGATTCTGCGATACATCCACAGTTCAAATGCCTCTAATTTTTTTATATCAATCTTTTTCAACGTCCATGACTCCATTCCGCAGAACAGCACAGAAAGTACGTAACATCTTATCAGGCGAAGTTTCATTTCAAGGCTCAAATCTCTTCCGCAGAACACGAGCTTCGCTCATATGTTGTTTATTATTGGTTCGATTATCTTCAAGAAGTAGGATCCCGGTGTCAATCTGAACTGTTTAATCGTCTCCATTCTATAAAATATTTCCTTATACGCATATTCGAACGCTTCCTTATGAGACTGGAAAACTTACTGAGATTTAATTACAAACTCGTAATCCAGTAGTTAGCAATTCTTGAAAATAATTCTTATCAGTTTTTTGTCCCCAATTACCATGTAATTACGGTTTTAAAGATAAAAATCCTTGTTAAAGGATATTTCATTTATTGTTTAAGTAAATAATACAATATTTTGCAGTTCCAAATATAAAAAATTCTTCTCAATTTATTTAATATTCCACGCCACTGCATAGATCTTTCCATTGTCTACACTTTAAAATGCTTCATGGAACATCTCGCTCCAGAATTTAAAACTAGCTGTATTTACTAATTATTACTAATATGTTAATAAAAAACTTTTACTCCAACAATTATAGTTCAAATCTCAACCCAATATTTTAGAGGTTTCACAAAAGTGAATTTTAAAACGTATCTAATAGCAAAGAAGGCCAATTACATTTTACGACATTTCCATTTATTGTTTTTAATTTAAATATTTACAACTAATGTATAAATTGCATCAATTTAATAGAAATTGCATAAATGCGTTGTCCTAAAATACAAAAAATCTGTGACAAATGCCTTAACAGTTATGCAATTTCAACATTTCTTCGTGTAATAACTTATTAAGGTAATTAATTACTATTTCACAATATTTGATATAAATATATTGTTAAGTAAATATCAACTTCTATATTCAGTATTTTTTTTTAGAAGATGGCAAGACATGCGACGTTGCATATGAAGTGTTCGATTGTGTGTCGGATGAAATTGGGAAATACTGCGGACAGACGCCATAACATTGTGGAGCCAGTAAATTTATGTTGTTAAGAATTAGTTACCATGTAAATTATTTAATTTATCTTGTAAATGTAATAAACACTTTTTTGTGTATTTTCACCTTTATTTTACTTTTAGATACGCACCAACTTGTTATATTTAATTGACAACCGTATTACTTAAGAATATATTTCAGATAACAAGTTTTTACTGAAATATTTTTTCTATTAAATATGTATGTTCCGAAAGACTTTCGTGGTTAGTACAAACAAACCTAAGGCTAAGATTAACAATATTACAAGAATTATCCGAGAAGCCATAGAAATTGAAAAAATGCCTAATTGTCCCAACAAAAAAAGCCAAAAACTAAAGTTCATATTAGAAGTTGAAAAAAATTATCAAATAAATTTTCTGGACTTGATTTTACATAGAAAATAGCATTGTAACTACTTCATCGTACACCAAAAGAACCTCATCGTCAAGATATCTGAATTTCTACTCTTGTCATCTCTTGTCCAAAAGAAATCAGCAGTTATCGCCCTCGCCAACAGAGCTATCAGATTATCCGACCCTATCGATAGACCTCAGGCCCTAAAAACAGCAAAAATGGCACTAACACTTAATTCATCACCTCATCGAAAACACTTTTAAGTCGTAAATACATACTTTTTATAATAAAAATAGTAACAGCAAAAATATCAATGTAAAGAAAAATTATAATGTCTCTTCGCTATATGAAAGGGTTATCTGAACAATTACAGTTGTCATAAAGGGTACAATCTTTTCAAAAGGAATTTTACAAAACTAAAAACGAAAATACCTAAATTAAAAGAATCGCATGTTGAATATGAAATTCCCTGATAGGACATAGTAAATATTGGACAAACGAGTCAGCTACTTAACTCAAGGATACGTTCTCACAAAACATGAACATGAAAAGAAGCATAAATTTGATTGTGATAAAACTAATATCCTAAAAATTGAACAGAACAAAAAAAAACGAGAACATAGAAAATTGGACATGGAAATTAAAAAAAAAACAATAATTCAATAAATGATAAAAAGTCATCAAATTTAAACACAATATATTTCAATTTAATTTAAAATATACAAATGAATAATTTCAGAATGCCTATGGTGTAAAATAAGTTTAAATGATAAACCTTTCTTTATCTTTTTATGTCAGGCACATTACTTTATCACCATATGTGATTACTGGTCTAATTGTAGATTGTAAATTTTAAACTTACAAGTTTAAATTGTAAATTTTCAGTATTCTAACTAAGCTTCTTATCTTCGACGAAGTTTTTGTATATCCCTAGATCCCTATAGGAAAGACCCCAAGATATTTAAAGTCGTCTACATTTTCCAGATGTAGACAAAGATACCAATGAAATTCCATCGGACTGGTTAAAATCGATCTTTATTCCTCTACCTAAGAAACCAAACGTTAAGAAATGTAGCGATTGTAGACTCATTAGTTTAATGAGCCATACCGTTAAAATACTGTTGCATATTCTTCTAAACCGAATTAACAACAAGTGCGAAGAAATAATTAGTCAAGAGCAGTTCGGGTTCCGGAGATGCCTTGGCACTAGAGAAGCACTATTTTCTATGCAAACACTCCTTCAACGATGTTGGGAAGTAAGAAAACCCGTATATATGTGCTTAATTGATTTTGAAAAGGCATTTGATCGCGTTCAGCATACCAGACTAATTACCGCCTTGCAGAGCATCCAACTAGATGAGAAAGACATCAATCTTATTGCCAAACTTTACTGGAACCAAACAGCCATTATTAATACCAACAACAGAGAATCAAAGCCAAACAGTATTGAACGAGGCGTAAGACAAGGCTGTATACTATCTCCCACCCTCTTTAACGTGTATTCTGAGAATCTATTTAGGAAAGCTTTAAAAGATCAAAAAGGAATTATCATAGGAGGAGAAATAATTAGCAATATACGGTACGCCGACGATACTGTGATTCTAGCTGAAAACATCGACGATCTGCAGGAGCTAATCAATAGAGCTGACATGGAATGCACAAATTGGGGACTGTCGATAAATATCGATAAAACTAAAAACATGGTGACCAGTAAAGTGGATATCGGCGCAACCCAACTGATATTAAACCAACAACCGCTGCAGAGAGTTCAGAGATTCACATACCTTGGATGTTGGATTACCCAAAGTCTAGATCCATCCTTCGAAATTCGATGTAGAATTGAACAGGCAAGAAACTCACTTAAAAAATTCAAGCCTCTATTATCCAATAACTCATTAAATTTGGAAATCCGTGAAAAGTTTACAAGATGTTACGTGTGGTCTGTACTTTTGTATGGATGTGAATCTTGGACTCTAAACGCCGATATCATGAATAAAATCGAGGCGTTTGAGATGTGGTTGTATCGAAGGATACTAAGAATTCCATGGACTGGCAGAACCAGAAACGAAGAAGTTCTTAGAAGAATGGGACATCAACGAACTCTATTAAATATTATTAAGAGGCGTAAACTAGAATATATTGGACATATAATCAGAGGACCAAGATATGAGTTCCTTCGGCTAATTCTCAACGGTAAAATCGAAGTAAAGAAATGGATAGGACGGAAGAAACTCTCTTGGTTGAGGAATTTGCGGCAGTGGACAGGTTTGACAGCGGACCAACTGCTACACGTAGCACAAGACCGAGATCAGTATAACAATATTATAAGCATGGTAGTCGCCGACGTTCCGTAGGGATATGGCACTTTAAGAAGAAGACATTTTCAAACTTATATTCGCCAATATGTGACTTTGTCACATTAACTGTATTTTTTCTTCAGGATATTAGGTATTTTGTTCTATTTGGATTATTGCCAAACCCCTATTGGATGCTTCTTTGCACAACTCAAATTCTTCCTTTAAACTCTCATCAATGCTATGTCATCAGTGTAAGCCATAAGTTGCGATGTCGATGTTATAATGGTACCTATTATTTTCGTATCTCTTATTGTGCCTTCTATAGTGACATTAAATAGTGATTCTAATAGAAAGTCGACCTGTCGTACTCTAGTTGCTATTTCGATATTTTTGAAGATGCTGTCATCTGCTATTATTGCTTGCCTTGTCTTTGTGTAGAAAATCTGCTGCTGGTCCCAATGACATACCTTATATCTTTTTAAAAATCTCTTCAATAAACAATGCAGATCCTTTCCTGCTCCCATAAAATATGTTCAATACACTAATGACCCAGTCATTTATTGGCAAGGTAAATATGTTCCGACCACATATAAACTTCTACAAAGTGAAGTAGATCTTCTTTAAGATAGATTAAACAAACTAGAATTATTACCTTCTCATAGCAAAAATAAATTAATAAAATTTTCCAGAAGGAGCCTTATTCCCTTGTCCCAAATTGTATTCAACAATTCCCCACTATCTGTTGTTAGTCAATGTAATCAAATGTTTTCAGTATAATATTTGATTCCAGACTAAATTAGAAAAATCACATCTATGAACTTAAAACCAATTAATTACTATTTAAATGGGAATAAGCCACAATTAAAGGTTAAAGTACGTTTATTGACGTTTCAATTTCCACTTCAGAAATCGAATCTTCTCTCACCTAAGACAACAATCTCTTCTTCTTTCATATGCTGCATCAACATCCGCAAATCCTTTCAATCACGCTCATTTCCTAATTACCGTCCACAACAACAGCTAACAATGCTTTTGTTTAATCAAATAAAGATAGAGAGTCAATTGCATCATGCTAGAGATGGCGGTGCATACAAGACTCTAGCAAATGACAAAAAGACAGGTGAACTTAACAAAGACACCATTGTACTTTGTATTGACTTGCAACAGGTGCTGCATTGCCCAACTCTAAATCATGGAGATGTCTTTTACCTAAGACAGCTGTCGTGCTACAACCTATGTGACCATGACCAGAGCAACAACAAAGCAATGGTGTTTCTTTGGGACGAAACTAAAGGAAAACGAGGCTCTGCAGAAATTGCCTCATCCTTGCATACAGGGTGGTGAATCGGCAAACGGGCCATAAGAAACTCAATGGTAAATTCTAAATTGTTGAATTCCTGCTTCCCTAATTATTTTACACCAAAAGTCATGGGAAACTATTTGTAGAGGACTCAAATATGTATCGAAAACAACTGTTAAAATTATTCTACGACTTAAACGTATTCCAAAATTTTGCTAAAATATAATACATTTTTCTGTGAAAAAATGTGTATTACGTGTTGCGTTTTGTCATATTATTGTTTCTGATATTTGACAATATTTAAATCAATTATATTATATTTATCTATGATTTAAATGGCCAAAATTTTGTGATTTATTGTTTAAAAAAAATTAAGTTGATTAAAATATGTACTCAGTTGAGGAGAAAAAAGCAATAATAAAAATGTTTTATTCATGTTTTATTATAACATTTGTTATAGTTTTATGTTTAGAAATAATCATATATTATTATTAGGAATAAAGATCATAGTAACAGTATATTGGAATTCATTGAATTGTTGTATAACTTAACTTAACATGGAATTAAATTTTAGTGAATTAGAATATCTTACGTTAAATAAAGATCCGGTAGTGGCAGGAAGAGGTTCGCGCTATTGCCTGAATAAAACATTATGCGATTTTTCGTCAACTGAATAGGTACATTTCATTATATTGATCGATTTGTAAACAATATAATTTATTGTTCACAAAGTAATAATGTTCAGTAGTATTAGTATTTAGTAAAATTCATTGTTTATAATTTAATTATAAAATAAAAAAATTGACAATTCGAATTGTCAAACATCTGACATTAATATGATAAAACACAAACGTCCTAATATATATTCTTGCATTACGTGTGGCCTAACTTTTAGGGGTGGTCTGAAAAATGTATCACATTTTTTCAAAATTTTGAAGTACATTTGATTCGTAGAACGGTTTTAACATTTGTTTTTAATTCAGATTTTAGTCATCTACAAATAGTTTTTTATGACTTTTGATCTAAAATAATTAGGGAAGCAGCAATTCAACAATTTAAAATTTCTCATTGAGTTTCCTATGGGCCGTTTGACGATTCACCACCCGGTATGTCACCCATCATTTTGCCCCCGTAGAAGATAACATGACCCGTAACTTAATCATATGGTCAGATCGTTGTACAGCGCAGAATAATAAATGGAAAATGGTATTTATTTCTATACACTGAAAATTAAAATTATTTATCGTTCGTTGTTTCTCACTTATTCGAAATATTTTATATGTTTTCGATATTAAAAATAAAAGCAATCAAACCAATAATAGTCATTATTTATTCAAATGAAAAAACTGTTTCAAAAACCTTTCAATTATTGGAAGGTACGCCGCTAACTAAACGGGAAATATCACAGTATATCACCTCTCCTCTATCCCCGCGCTTATAAACTTTTCGACGTCAAATTTAGGTAGCTTAGAAATTCTTAATAAGAGGACACAGCTTTTTACCCTGTGATAGGGACTAAGAATAATATTCTTACTCTTACTGATTTCAGTATAGTGTGCTTCTGGGAATTGTAGAACTACAATTTTTTATCTCCCTTTTTTCTATTTATTAAACGGCTTGCTTTCCATAATTTTTCAATAAGCGAATAATCTTTAGCTTAAAAAGTTAGTAAGTAATGAGTACTTTATTCATGATGAATAAACAATACTATATTTCATTCAAACCAACACGCAAAGGTAGATACGTGTCTAGATAATTGTGGGAAACGTTTAAAATTCATATTATGTATAAGAAATTAAAGTTCATAACAATAATTTACTAGTAATATGCACTTTGGTGTATGAAATAAATTGAATGAATTTTTTCATTAAGAAATTAACGTTCCTTAACACTTGAGGTCAACCAGTTAATAAATAACTTTTTCTGTTAACTTCTATTTTGCAAAATTAAATAGTTAATAGATCTGATGGTTTCCTTTCGTAAAAACATTGTCTTGACCCACGATTAATTTACCGTGAGATGTATTTGCTATAAAATATCATTTTATTAAATTAACATGAAGACTACAGGGAAAAAAACCATACATGTCATTTTTTTTAATTTCACATTTCTATTGTATGTTATAGAACACGCGAAGAAGCACATTTTTTAGAGTTATCGTACGGGGTAAAAAGTAGTCTTGTCATGAGTAATAACACTTTAAAAGTTTCGGGGTACCGGGAAAAAACCAGCTTTGTCCATGGGTGCAGTGAAAGAACCAGTTATGTCACAAGTTTCACGGTAGATAGAAATTTATTTTAGTATGTATATACTTCATCTAATTTAGATAACGACTTACGTCATGATCTACGTCAGAGATCGAAGTTGACATAGTTGCCAAAGCATAAAAAAATCCTGAATCCATTTTAAATCAAATAGGTCACATAATGATTGCAACAGTATTGCCATCTCTTTACACTGACTATTAAAATTCTTAAATGATATTTTTAAAATAAAACACACTAATTTTGTTCTAAAAAGAACAGATTTTATTAAATAGTTAAAAATATAAAACAAGAGACATTCACTTTAAAATTCAAAATAATAAAGTACAAAAAGTGTCAACACCGCAACTGTCAAGTAAGTGTTACCAATTTATGCTAAAATTTTACCTTCGTTCGATTACAGTTACAGTGTGTTCCGAACAAATGTTCTTGAGAAAAAGGCTTTATAATGCATTTATACAAATTAAATGAAACATATTATTGTGTATTTCTTTAAGTTAACATTAATAGAAATTTTTAAATATTATTTCTACGCGTATATAATAAAATATGTCTAGTGGCTGTAATGCCAGTGTACTCGGTAAAGTAATTCTAAAAAAGAACACACCTACCGTCTAAATATTTCGTGTTGGTATCATGTGACTTCACAGGCTATGACGCCGATGACGTACATCGTTATATAAATTAGATGAAGTGTACATGTAGTCAAAAGTAACTTTTGGTTTGCTTGTGTTTGTTTCGCCTTTACAGCAACTAGTTTTCACAACTCATATCTCTATTACTGGTTGCCTGGCTATTACTTCGACAAAACTGACTTCACGTCAACACAGGAACACAGCTGATTATGTTTTGGTTAGATTAGAGGTTAGAATTAGAATGATAAAACAACCATATAATATAACGTTATTAATAAACACATTCTTACTGGATCAAATTACAGCTTACTCAACTACTCAATACTTTGATGTTCAAGACTTTACACAACTTTATTAATTACTTTTTGATACTTAAATACTTTTAAAAACTGGTGATTCACGAAGGCGGTAGTGGGTGCTTGTGAAGTTGAGACCATGGCAGATTTAATAATAACCACTAACCAGTTTCTTCAACACTTCTTAATAATTGTTTTATAATTTTGTAATCTGCTTTTACAGGATACGTGTAGTAGTTGATTAATAGATTTCTTTTGACAATGCTTTCATTCTTTTTAATCTTTAAATTATTAAGTACAAAGTAACAATTACAGCAATTACAGTTGCATTTGCACTTGGATATGTTTTTATGAAAGTAATATTGTTTATAAATCTTCCGATGACACTGTTGTCCTCTTTATCAGCCAGAGAATTTAAGGTATATAGTTGGCTTTAGATTGCTGGAATTCCTTAAGTTGAAAATGTGTGCTGCCATATTTTATGTGCTAGTTGAAGAAATCTTCCATAACAATATTTTGTGTTGTTTAGTGCTGGGGAGGATCTACTTAATTTGGATGTAGAATAAAATTAATGTTAGCTAATTTACTTTGCAGATATCATTATTATGAAATCATTGAAGCAACAAATTTTTGAACTCAGTTAAAAATCTCTTCTTTAACAGTTATTGTGACTCCCTTACTTCTTGTTCCTTCCATTTTCCCTGTGGCATACTCTTATAATGTATCCATTACTTCCAAATATGTATTACACTGTCCATTTCGTTTTATATATGTTTATGATAGTAATATTTATCCTAGACATTTACTAAGAGAATAAAATTAATTTGCATGTTAGAAAACATAGTGAGATACTCAATAAATAACAAATTAGAACAAATACTTTGCTATGCTAATGATATCGATATTGTGTAGAGAAAGGAATACATTGTACAATAGTACCAAACAAATCAACCACAAAAATTGAAGTAATAAACAATTACAAGACTTTATATGTAGACTTATATTTTGAGCTTAAAAAAAGAATGGAAACATATCCAGATGTTTTGAGAGGAGGGTACTAAGGGGAATAATAAGAATACAATACAAATTTGAAAAATAGTGAGTAGGATAAGGAACCAGATATTGAGAAAAGTGATGGATAGCGATGACTTAAATGAAAACTAGTATGAGGACTAACACTCACATAATGTTGATAGATGATGACAAAATGACATCGAATAGGTACTGATAATGCTTTTTTAAAGTGACAAAAGGGTCCATACTATTACTATTTCATATTGTTTATTATTTATTTCAACAAATCTACTTATCTATAAAAGTAAAAAAATAATTTTTAACACAATATTAAAGTTATTTAACAATCATAACGACTTAAATCAAATATTAGATTTAAATAATGCAACAGTCAACAAAAAAACTACCTTTGCCTTAAAACCTGTGCTTATCCTTCTTCTTTTTCTTCTTCTTGCTACATGATTTTATAGAATGTTTAGATGTCTTTTTTAGATCCCTCACATACTTCTCATTCTCAGAGTCAGGTTCATCATCTACATCTTCAAGTTTTACCTCATCTCTGCTTTTTCCTGTTTTTTTAGAATATTTAGAACACTTTTCAATGTCCTTCAGACACCTCTTGTTCTTAGAAACATATTTCTTATCATCTTCAGAATATGCTGGGTGCTTGATTATTTCTGCTTTTTTAGAATCTTCAAATTCCATGTGAAACATATTCTCCATTAAAGAAGGTTGGTTGTCTACATCTTCAGAATCTAATTTGTCCCATTTAGAAGGAACAAAATACATACTTGCATCATTTTCTTTAGACTTCTCCTTCTTTGCTTTGAGATTGTCTCCTATAATTATATTTGGATCCATATCAGGATGATATCTCTTCAGCAAACTAGCACCATCTAGAGGTTCATCTATACTAGAATCATCTTCTTCTAGAATATCAGCAGAACAGAATATTGATCTTATAGTTTGTATCAAATTTTCACTAAAACAGTTTGAGTTGTGCCAGTGCTCGATTACAGCAAGTACACGAGAGGAAAATTGGTCTCTCAAGTTTGCAGTACTTAAACTGTTTCTAAAAGTTTCTAAATTTTTAAACACTTCTATTAAAGTTTCTTCTTGATGTTGAATTTTCAACGTTACATTTTTAATTTTACAGTTTGAAATTACATCAGACAAAAGGTATAGTCTAGCAATTCTCTTAAGAATAGTACTTCCGGTATTGGTTAGTGCTTCTAAAATGATGTCAATTAAATCATCAATAAAATCACTGTGTTTTAAACAAAACACCATACCTTCAGCTATTTTATTTTTCTCGGAGATAACTTTTGAATAAGTTTGATTAATTTGTTGCACTGATCCTCCACTAACTCCTGCTCTGTTGTTTTCTTAGTCAATTGATCTGGCATGCCATCACTGTATGAGGGAATTATGGGAGGACACCAAATAGAACCACCCTTAAACATTCTAAACTTCTTTGTTGGCCAATTAGTGGGAGAATCTCCATGTAATATTGAGTAAACTTTCCAACGATAGTACAGATGAGCTGAAGAATAGTTATCAAAGAGGAAATTGTAGGCTGGATTGTTGATTTCTTTATTCATAACCATAGCTTCAAACTCTGGACCTTCTCTTACTATAAATTCTACCATTCTATGAATCAGCATAAGCTCTTTTTTATTCATTGGGTATGTTACTTTGACATAAGAATTATATAATAGTGTATCGAACTCTTCTTTACTCATCTCACTGATAGGTTTTATAAAACCAGCTGGTGGTTGGGCATTAAACGGCAATCCAGATGATAGTGGAGGTTGATACAACTTTAATAAAGATTCTGGTATATAAATAGGATGGGTGGGAAGCTCTACAGGTTTACCCCAGCGAACTGATAAGTCTCGTCGATCTTTATTTGCTTCTAATGCTCGTTCGGCATCCTTTCTGCTCATGAAGGCCACAAATCCCCGTTTTTGGTTCGGTTTATTGCCGTCTCTTTCAACGTATATTTTAACACTTGCTAAGGGTCCATAGGCTCCAAATTCCATCATGAGATCGTAATCTGTTATTTTGGGATGCACGTCCGGTAAAAACAAGTTGGTTGAAATTTGTTCTTCATTTTCTATTGGTTTATAAGTTTCATCTTGATTAACAACTACTTTTAATCGATCTCTGGCTAAATGTTTTAACATCAACTCTTCTTTTAAGTCCTCCAAATTTGACTTCGGCTTTTCTTGTTTTTTATTTTTTGTAGGTACAACCTCTTTGAGAATTCTAGCACATTCAATTGCTGTATTTGTTTCGACATCTTGGGTTTGAATTAAAGGGGTTGGTTTATAAATTTGCCCTGTAGTTCCCTCACCTTTTTCTTCTTTATCAGAATACAGAACACCGGATTTGACAAATACTTGATTTGCAACTGAAGCAGAACTTTGAAAAGTTTCTATAAATTCCTTGAAAACTTGGGCTGCATCTTCTTCTTCTGCTTGTCTCCATCGTTTATAACCTCGTTTAGACATAGTTTACTTAAATCAACCCAAAGAATTTTTTAGAATATATTTCAAAAACATTAATTTTTAATACTTATCGGCTTATTTTGTATTATAAATAAAAACTAGGCGATCCGCCGATCGGCTTCGGCGGTGTTTACTTGACAGATTTCTACTTCACAGTGACAGTTTTATTGTCGTAGTTCTGATAGATTCCTACTTCGGTAATGACGGGACAGATGAATTGAAAAAAATGTAGAGTACGCGGTACTGTAGACTAGTGAAGTTTCATACTGTTTTCTGTATTTTGAAAATAAAATAAAGTATTTTAATTTTTTATTTATTTATTATTTATATTTTAAACAAAATATATTATATTTATTAAAATAATTGAATAAACTCTTAAGTTCGCTCCTAGCGCCACCTGCTAACGTATCAATAAAGTTACGTTGTATTTCCTCTACATTGTTGCCAAGAATACGTTGTTGTGTAACGTGTACCCGTTAAAGTTGGACAAAAATACAAAATAATGTACAAAATACCATAGACGTATATATTAACAGTATCAGTATATACGTATATGCAAAATGAATTATTAAAATATAGTATTATAGTATAGCAATATAATATTATATATAAATTATTATATAAAAGAGTTCAATAAATTATGTTTTCTCGTAACGCCACCTGCTAACATATTAACAAAGTTATGTGTTACCTTGTATAATTCCTCTGCATTGTTGCCAAGCATACGACCCGTCAAAGTCAGACTAAATATTAAACTGATAAAATATAAATAAATATCATTTGATAGTAAATTTAATTCTTATATAAACTAAATAAGATGTTTAAAAATAAAATTTGAGTACAGTCTGAAATTAATTTATTAACAACAATTAATGTCAAAAATTAATACAACGCCAGCATAAAAGTTTTGAAGCAAACAAAAGATTTGTTTATTTAATGATGATTGCATGGTTCTTTTTTTAATATTTGCAATAAAGTGATTCAAGTAATATACTCGGTTCGTTAATCTCAGTCCCAACTGTCTATACTTCAGTCGTTAGAGATACAAAAAATTCTTTACAGATGGCTCAATGGACACAATGGGAAATGCAGAATTTGGAGTTTTTTCCCAGATATAAACTATTCATTTTCATCTAAACTACCCAATCATACTCAAATATGTGTAGCAGAGGTAACCGCGATCAATCATGCAGTCAAAATTATACTGGAACAAAATATCACAGAAGCCATTATCTTTTCTGGCTCCAAAAGTGCACTACAAAAAATAAAAAAAACAGGGTTTTCTAAAGACAAAGAACATTTATCGTATTTAACGAAAAGAGGAATTATACTAGCAAGGAACAATAATATCAAATTCCTATTAGCATGGATCCTAGGACACACTGGTATTACTGTAAACTACAAGACTGACCAACTCGCCAATATAGGTCGTTCCCTGAATATTCCCATGAATATCAAGCTACAGTTTTCAAATTTTACACCCTACTTAAAAAGAGAGATTTGGTCTAACTGGGCAGCTGAATGATTCGAAGAATATGGCACAAGTAATTCATTCAATGTCAAAATTAATAAACGAATCCACACACTACCATGGTTCAATAAATTTGCATATATCAGTAGGAGACATTTCACTACAATCATACATATGAGAATGGGTCATTGTTCATCCCCTCTTCATCTATTTAGAATTGGAGTCAAAGACGATTCTTATTGCGAATGTGGCCAAGTGGGAGGCTTAAAGTATATTTTATTAGAATGTCTCCTTCTAGAAACCAAAACCCACATTTCGACTTGTATGCCGAATTAGCTAAAACTAAACTTTCCACAATCTTCACAAATATCTTAATGAAAATACAATAAACACATTATGCAACTTTATCTCTACCTTAAATATTAAATTATAAACTATGATATTCCTTCTTTCAGTCCTGGGTGCTTCTACTTTATCCGTCGGAAGCATTTCTGGTGTGAGCAAAGCTTGGAGGCTACCCCCGAGCGAGAAAAGTTTATATCTTTGTTGCGTTGTCTTACTAAAATTTTAGCCTGTGAAGAATATAAAAAAAATCCAGTACAAGTATAGTAGAATAACCCAAAACAAACAAAGGAAGAGTATAAGTGTAGGTAGACACTGATTGCTGACGCAAGACAAAAAGTTGTCTACCTTCGAAGTAAACTGGGTAAATGGTCTAGGACATAGCCAAAAAAAAAAGAATAAGAAGAAGAAGAAAATGCCACTAAACCTCTAAAAATCGTACGAACAAGCTGAATTTTTCAGAGAATGTTAATTTTGGAACCACACAAAAGATGTAAAAAAGTTTTAGATGAAAACTAAAAAAAGAACAAATACCACTTTTACCCCCGGGCTTCCCCCTAAAACCACCTCTAAAAAATCTCTACTAAAAAATGTAGCTGAGATAATTTTACACAAAAATAAGCATTTTTTGGGTAAAATGAACCGTTCTCTTAGAAACGACGTTCTCTCCAAAATTCAGCTTGTTCGTATGATTTTTAGAGGTCAACTCTAGAGAGATATATATTTGAAGTTTTTTTTCAAAAGCCAAAACTAAATTTAAAGAAATTCATAATATTTCATACTAAAACATGTACCTATTTAAAAAAATCACAATTTTCTTTTTTTTGCTTGATAGTAATGAGTGCCAAAAAAGCAGTTGGTACCCAAGATACTCACAGCATGCTAGATAAGATGTTTTAACACGTTTTGTTTGTTTTATAGCAAAGTTACGTCCATTTCTATCACTATTAATTTTATAATATCTTTTACACTACCTATCTGTTCCGATTCAGAAAGTTTGTGATTTCTTTCTTGGTTAACATGACAATCATTAAAATTTTCCATTACAAGATTTTGACTACGAAAAATTTCTTTACCAAGTTCTTCTCTAGATTTAGAGACACTTATTTTATTGTTTGTTTTAGCCTCGTATGCAGTACCTATGTGTATTTATAATACACATAGGTACTGTTCTATTGAAACTTCTATTGAAACAAGACAAGTTCTATTGAAACTTTCCTATACCATATTTTTATACCCCTACGCACTGCTGATGAATATAATGCTGTTTAATCAGTGGCATCTATAAATGATTTCCCATTATTACACTGCAGGATTGTCCACATTCTGCCACACTTGATTCACCACACCTCTTTTTGTTGGCACGTCCACCATTTCAGGTACATTTCAGCTTAGTGAGAAACATGACATCTCTTTTACTTTTCGATTATCAAATTATAACTTTACTATTGCTCTGTCTCATAACTAATTCACCCCTGTTTAATTTAGCCCCACTTACTACTTTCGTATTAGGTTTGCTGTTTTGTCTCAGTGTGCATATTAAATGTGTATCTTTGTTCAGAAGTTCGTGTGTTAAATTCACGCTATTCGTCTAATAACTATCTGTGTAAAAAACGCGACCTGAATGTAAAAGTGGAGCTCTAAGTTTGCTTTTTTCCTGTACTTATAAATTTTAAAATTGTATGTATAACCATTCACTCCACACAAACAATTTCACACCGTATTTGTGACGTTACCCCTGTATATATTGACGAAAGTTTAGTCGTCCTCGAAAAGGAATTACCATCTGATCTATAAATATATTCTTTTCAGGAAATATGCTAATTGGAATTTCTTGATTAGCAAATTTTGCTAACACTTTTTGAGTCTATCATGAGGCAATTTCGTTGTTTGAGAACTGCAAATTGGACAAAAGAAACTCAAACCTCATCTTGGACATGTTAACAAATTTTCCAATTTCACTTTTGTACAGCATATTGGTACTAAAATAACCCTTCAAAGTAGGTTTATAACTCAAAACCATCCAAATAAGAGAAACAAATTTTGGATTGATTTGTGTTTTTCCCATCGAGCAAAAAGACAAAAGGGGGAATCTAATCCTTAAGGAGACCAAAAAGGGGCCTCTGATGGCGGACATATCCGGAAATGCGAATGCGCCAAATTTAAATTTTCCGACACTTATTAACAGTAGCTACATAATATTTTTCAGAATGTGTCTTAGACGAGAAAGTTTTAATTAATTATTAATGGAAATAGTCTAAAATGCGACACAATTGTTAAAAAACTTCAATATAAATAAGATTTCATGTGACATTTGGGACAAACAATAACATAACCCAACTAAATTTGATGTCAAACAAGGAGTGAGACTCTCTTTCCTTGTTTAATGTGGCCTCTAAAGATCGCACTTCCTGTCTAACAATATTTTTGCCCCCACTACCTTTACATTCCCTCTTTTGTCTTTTTGCTCGATGGTTTTTCCATTGTCCCAATAATGTTGTTTTTGTTAAATATTTTATTGGTTTCTGGCAGCATATCTGTTGGTTTCCTCGACGGAAACTTTCTTGGATAATCTACTTTCCTCGGGGAAAAAAACTTTGGAAAAGTCCTGAATTTTCCGTTAAAGTAAATTTCTTCAAATTACCTACAAAAATTGTAAACAAAAATTCAAAACTATACAAATGAATACTAATTTATATATTACCTGCACAATTATTCCAAATGATCTTAGTATTATTATTATCCAAATTTAGCCATACGGCTCACACTCCCTCTAAGGAAAACATTCACTCATCCCAGATACCTAGGGTATCAAAAGGATTGAGCTCTGGTGGGACTCTTTCCGTGATATTTGGTTTAGACCTAGGTGATCTGGTATGCTGGAGTATTTCCCAAAAACTTTCGTACACATCTAGCCGTCGCAAGGAGTACAGCTTTCTGTACACAGAATTATAGGTATGTCTGCGTACTTTCCATTCTCCATTGTCTGCTGATTTGTTTTTCTAGATCTGTGTACTTGGCGATCTTTTCGTTGTATTTAACCCGCAAATTATTGGTGTTAGGTATCGATACATGAATAAGTGTTATTTGCCTAGTAAGTTTATTAACTAGTATGAGATCCGGTCTATTAGGTACCACTGGTTAATCTGTGAGCACAGTGTGGTCCCAGTATAGCTTGTAGTTGTTATTT